TTGAGCCACCAGCCGTCTGGTTAGCAGGCAAGTGTCTTAGTCACTATGCTACCAGAGCTCCCCTGGCACATTGTAGGTGCTCAAAATACGTTGAATAAAAGGCTAGAATCAAACTAGCAGTCTGGCTGATATGTCCCAGAGTGACCAAGAGAGGGCGCCCAAGCCATAGCCCAGAAACCCCCAGCTAACTCAACTTTGCTCTAGAGCTGAACAGGGAAACCCACAAGTTAGACAACGAGAGGAGTCATGTCCCTGCTGGTGAACCACAACTGGGCAGTGCTTTGGCAGCTATTTTATGATGTGAGTGTGATTCCTAAGTTAGTTTACAAGCCAGCGGCCAGGGATTCCGGGCGTGAATCCCTCCTCACAAAACAACCACTTCTTAAGTGAGATAATGGGCAGGTTTTCCATCTCTCTGAGTCTCGTTTCCTTGGTGGTGCAGGGTCTGAGGCATCTGACTGCCAGTCAGAAGGTTGGTGGTTTAAACCCACCAGCCAGCCCCTCGGCAGAAGGAAGATGGGGCACTCTACTTCTGTAAAGATCTACAGCCTCAGACACCCAGCGGGGTCACTGTGAGTCGAATCGACTCGATGGTAGTGAGTTTGGTTTGAATACAGTCACCACTGTGTGTGTTGTCGCTAAGTCTGAGCCGACCCGATGGCACCTAACGACGACAGGGTCACCACTCAGTAAATGGTTGCTATCACCACTCTCCCTCTACTGCTCTGCATGACTCAAAAGAGCATCAGCAGCGAGGCCCACTCCCTCACCCCACCCCTGCTCCACACCAGAGTCACAGAGCACCGGACTTGGAGTCTGAAGTGATTCCAACGTGGTGGCACCTTGGACAAGTCACTGACCTCTTTACTGTTGTTTCATTGTAGCTCACTCTGGTAGCATAGTGCCTAAGGCACTTGACTGCTAACCAGAAGGCTGGCGGTTCAAACCCACCAGCCACTCCTCAGAAGGAAAGTTGGGCAACCTACTTCCGCAGTGATACTGCCTCGGCAACCCAAGGAGGGGTCACTGTGAGTCAGGGCTGACTGGATGGCACATAGCAACAACTTCTTAAGGGACAGTGTCACTGGGTGGCGCTGTTAACACGATCAGCTGCTAACGGGAAAGTTAAAGGTTTGTGTCCACCTAGAGGCACCTCAGAAGAAAGGCCTGGCAATCTATTTCTGAAAAACCAGCCATTGACAGTTCTAAGGCACACAGTGCCACTCGAACACAGACGGGGTTGCCACATGTTAGTCATTGACAGTTCTAAGGCACACAGTACCACTCTGGTACAGGCCGGGTTGCCACATGTCAGAGCTGACTCAGTGGTGATGAATAACTTAGGGGGCATCAGAGAGAATGAAATGACAGAGTGAACTGAAGTGTCTTCATATCCCACCACCACTATCTGTTGGTTTATTGTTTACAATCTGCATGAAAACATCTTCTCTTTTAAAGGCTATGTCCTAAACAGACATAAAACTGCCTCAACATTATCACTGAAGAGTAGGATTCTGCACACAGTAGGTGCCTTATACTTGTTACTAAGAAGTGAGTAATAAGCAAGCTTAGGACTACCAGGTTGTGTATGCACTGAGAGTTGGTGAGGTTGGTGACGAGAGGTGGGGTTCATGGAACCTGACTCTGGAAGCTTCCAGTTGCTGGGAATGAATGAAATGAAGGGACGGGCTTGGAGCAGATGCAGAGGGCATGGCCTAACCAAAGGCTAGAGGCTGGAATGACCGCAGAGGAGCCAGCACCAGGTTCGGGCCCACACGGAAGGTTCTGAGCAAGCAGTGAGCCGTGGTGTTGAAGGAGTGAGGGGCAGAGGCAGCGGGGGTGTAGAGAAGGGGCAGGAAGTGGAGTGAGGGGGTCCCACGGTGCAGGGGCTCCCCGAGCAGCCAGCCCTCTTACCTCACTCCGGGTGAGCAGCGGTGGGATGCTGCTGATGGGCCTGAGGGCCAGGTGCAGATACTCCATGACTGTGGCTGCGCAGGAGGGAGGAGCCAGTGAGCACATGGTCATTGTCCCGGAGGGTCCCAAGGGGCCCTCGGGGCAAAGCAAAGGGGAAAATTATTCAGTTTGCTAAAGGAGTCTTCACTGCGCAAAATTTGTTGCCACTGTATTTCTTCAAATCTGTTCTCAGCATACACTGGGGTGCCTTGTTGATTAAAATGTGTCACAGCAACTTAATATTAAAGGCTGAGGCTGTTAAACCTGAGCAGGTTCAGTTATCGCTGAAATAATGGCTCTCTCCCTCACTGCTGTGCCTGTAAGCTCTCTGGAGTGGGAGAGTTTGGAACAGTGGGCTGTACCCTGGACCCTAGTGACAAATACACACGCCTCCCCCACCTTTCTGACGTAATTGGTCTGAGATGTGGCTGCAGCATCTGTGTGCGTGTATGTAGCTCTGGTGGTGTAGTGGTTAAGGCATTTGGCTGCTAACCAAAGGTCGGTGGTTTGAACCCACCAGCCGCTTCACAGGAGAAAGATGAGGCAGTCTGCTTCTGTAAAGATGTACAGTGTACAGGCTTGGAAACCCAGTGGAGGTCGCTGTGAATTGGAATTGACTTGATGGCAGTGAGTTTGGTTTGGTGTATATACATATACATACACATATGTATGTATGTATTTTAATGATACTGGTTTCAGTGAAGGTTTACATGCAGTTTCCCAATGAACAATTTTTGCACAAATTGTTCAGTGACAGTGGCTACACTCTTCACAATGTGTGGACATTCTCATTATTTCTGTTCCAGTTGTTCCATTTCCATTCATCTAGTCTCCCTGTCTCCACTTTCTCATCTTTAAGTATATGTTAATCATTTGATCTCATATCACCAAAAACTCACTGCCATAGAGCTGGATCTGACTCATAGCGACCCCTCCTTGGGTTTCTGAGGCAGTATCACTACAGAAGTAGATTCCCCAACCAACCTTCCAAGAACCGGCTGGTGGGTTTGAGCCACCAGTCTTCTGGTTAGCAGTCAAATGCCTTAGGCACCACACCACCAGAGCTCCGTGGTCTCATACAGGTGACTTTTTAGAAATAGCACAGTCCACATAGGTCCTATTCTTTATTTTGTGAGCCAATCTGTTGTTTAGCTAAAAGGTGACCTCAGGGGATAATTTTGGTTCAAGGTTTAAAGAGTCTGTCTCATGGCAGTAGTCTTGGGGAGTCCCCCAGTCTCAACTGGTCCAGTAAGAGTGGATTTTTTAAGGATTTGAGGTTCGGTTCCACATTTTTCTCCCATTCTATCAGGATCTACCTATGGTGGCCCTTATCAGAATGGTCAGCAGTGGTAGCTGGGCACCATCTAGTTCTTCTGGGCTCAGGGTCGATGAGGCTGTTGTCCCTGGAAACTAATTTCTTCAAGTCTTGGGTTTCTTTCTTCCTCTTTTGTTCTGGACAAGCGGAGACCAATAGTGCATCTTAGATGGCCGCTTGTAAGCTTCTAAGACCTCAGACGCTACTCACTAACCTAGGATGCAGAACATGAACTTTGTGATCTGTGTTATTCCAACAGACCGAGCTGTTCCATGAGACTACAGTCCTAAGACTTCAAACCCAGAAAACCAATCCCATCAGGTGTTTGGTTATGTCTAAGAAGTGTCTGCAACTCTGCCTGCTATGTGCTTTATTACACATGAGTGTGTATGGGCACACACACTCCTACATAGACATATGCATAAACCTATACACACATACATAAGGAACTTGGGTGGTACAGTGCCTAAGGCATTTGACTGTTAACCAGAAGGTTGGTGGTTGAAACCCACCAGCCACTCTGTGGAAGAAAGCTAGGGCAATCTGCTTCCAATTAAGATTTACTGCCTTGGAAACCCATTGGGGGTCACTATGAGTTGGAATCAACTTAATGGCAGTGGGTTTGGCTTTTGTTTTATACACACACACATACCTGTACACATGTGTGCCTACATACATAATATATACTCGCACATATAATTTTTGGTTATTGGTACTAAATTATATATTCATTAGTAATTACCAAAAGGTCTTTTTTTCTGTGTACATCTTAGTGGCACTGTCTACTCTGGTCAAGCTGTGCACACTTGACTCTCCTTTGGTATTACCTTTCTCATCACCAAAAATAACAAGTGTCAGAAATGACCAGAATTACTGGTCAGACAGACAGGACCCCTGAGACCATGGCCCCAGGCTGGGCGTAGCTCTGAGCCAAACAGTGGAAAGGCCTACAAACTGAACTCCTGCCCCAGGGAGACGCACCCCGTGGATCAATCAGCCATGAGACATCAAAAGGGCAGGATTTGCACAGAGGGAAAGCTGGACAGACAGGAAGGCACAGACGAGAAGGGTACGGTGAAGGGGTAGTCACGGGGAGGAGAGGGGAGGAGAGCTTTGGTTGCTGGGATTGTAATCAGGGCCATGAAACGAAATGTGCATGAACTGTTGACAGCGGAATGAATCTGCTTTGTAAATTTGTACCCAAATCACAATAAAAAATTTCAATAAATAAATAACAAGTCTCTACTATCAGAAAATCCCTTCCCTACTCCACCCTATTCCTAGTAATCACTAATGAACATGAGTTTCCATACATTCACCTATTCCTGTGGCATCTGGGAGGAGCTCTGGCGGTGCAGAGGTTAAGGCACTCAGCTGCTATCCAAAAGGTCGGCGGTTAGAACCCACCAGACAATCAACAGGAGAAAGATGGGGCAGTCCGCTTCTACAAAGATTACAGCCTTGGGAACCCTATGGGACAATTCTACTCTGTCCTAGATGGTCACTGTGAGTTAGAGTCGACTCAGTGGCAGAGGATTTGGTTTGGTTGGTGGCATCTGTATAATTTTAAAACTCCCCGGGTGGTTCTCATGTGCAGCCGGGGTGGGAACCAGCGAGTTACAGGAAGCCCACTGGGACCTGGGGACCCACGCTCTGTCCTCTGTAACTGTGGCTGACCTGTCTCATCAGCTGGGAGCCAGGGCTGTTTGTTAATCCTGTGGCAACGGTGCGTGAGAAGTCATTCCTCAAATGTGTCCTCAGGGACGAACGTTTGTGCGTCGCTGCTTTAAATGGAAAGTGTCCCAGTGTATTGAAATCACAAACTGATACAGTGGAAGTTTCCTAGAAACACAGCCGTTTGCGTGACTTCAGGGCCGCCTGTGCCCTCAGGCTGATCACCATGCCTGATGCATCCTCTGCCTTCCAAGGCAACGAGGTTGGCAGAGGGGTGCTGGGTGGTGGGAGCAATGCAAAGCTACCAAAACATACTGTCAAAGTGAGGGGGTGGGAGCGGAAACTGGCCTTCAGGCTGAGGCGGAGAATCTAGGGTCAAGATGAAACCCCTAGATGTCTGAAGGCAGCCTTAAGTTCAGGGTGCCCATGGGGGGTGCACAGGCCCAGGCCCCTCTCCCCTGACTGGTGTAATGTCCTCCAGCACAGGCCCCAGGCTGGGCGTGCAAGTCAGCCTGAGTCAGCCGTGTCCAGGTGGGATTCTCACTATGGCACCTTGGGCCTGCCACTAGGCTCTGTGAGCTGAAGTCACCTCATCTTTACAAGGGGCCCAGTCACATCCACCGTGTAAGTGGGAAAGGTGTTTAAACAGGGCCAGCACAAGGGTGACAGTAGTAAGGTATCCAAAAACCAAACCAAACTCACTGCCGTTGAGTTGATTCGACTCATAGCGACCCCTCCTTGGGTTTCCAAGGCGGTATCTTGACGAAGTAGATCGCCCAATCTTCCTTCCTAGGAGTGGCCGGTGGGTTTGAACTGCCAGCCTCCTGATTAGTGGTCAAATGCCTTAGGCACTATGCTACCTTACCTAGTAAGGTATCCAGGTACAGCATTTAATGAAGCCCTCGCGCCCAGGCCGTGCAAGTGCAGGGTTGGGCTTGGAGCACTTAAAGTTTGCAATCAGAGCACCTCACCCTAGTCCTGGTCCTGGGTTTAAAACAAGGCAGTGCAATACACTTGGCACATGGAGGGCTTTTAACACACAGACTCCATCCCTTACCTGTCAGGTAAACCCAGGAAGTAGGCACCTGGATCCAGGGCTGGCTGTACCCCAGCTTCTCAAACTGCAAGGAAACATGGCCTGGGATGAGAAAGGGTGTTTCAGGGTCTGGTGTGGAAAAGGCCACATGCTCCCTTCACCCACAGTGGCTGACACCCCCCCACACACACACCCAGGCAGCCATAGCTGGCTTAAAATGAAATCTACACTTTGACTTGGGAAACTCATGTAGGAAAGGGAAACATGGGCTTTTTACTTGGAAACATTCACATTATTTACTTATTATTTACACCTACCTATACCCAAAGAGGGAGCTCTGGTGCAATAGTGCCTAAGGCATTTGGCTGCTAACCAGGAGGCTGGCAGTTCAAACCCACCAGCCATTCCTCAGAAGGAAGGTTGGGCAATCTACTTCCGTAGTGATACTGCCTCAGAAACCCAAGGAGGGGTCTGTATGAGTTGGATTGACTTGATGGCAGTCAATTTGGTTTGTTTTACACCCAAAGAAAGGAGCTCTGATGGCTCAGTGCCTAGGGCATTTGACTGCTAACCAGAAGATCAGTGGTTCAAACCGCCCAGCTGCTCCATGGAAAGACTATGGGGCAATCTACTTCTGTACAGATTTATTGCATCAGAAACCCAATGGGGTCACTATCAGTCAGAATTGATTTGATAAGAGAGTTTAACTTTTGGTTTGGTTATACCCAAAGAAGGAGCCCTGCTCGCACAATGGGTAAGGCATTTGGCTGCTAACCAGAGGACTGGCGTTTCAAACTCACCAGCTGCTGCTCTGCAGTAGGAAGATGAGGCAATCTACTTCCATAAAGATTTATAGCCTTGGAAACCCAGTGGGGTCACTATGAGTCAGAATCAACTCAGTGGCAGTGAGTTTCGTTTTTTTATACCCAAAGAAGGAGTGATGCAGTGGTTAAGTGCTCCCTGCTACCCAAGAGGTCAGCGGTTCAAACCCACTTTGTGGAGAAAGATGGGACAGTCTGCTTCTGTGAAGATGTGCAGCCTTGGAAACCCTCGGGGGCAGTTCTACCCCGTCCTATGGCATCACTAGGAGTTGGAATTGACTCAACAACTTTTTTCTTTTTTAAAACCCAAACACACTCCAATGCACTTAGGTAGAATGTTATTTTTTTTAGAATTGATTTTTCTGCTAATAGAGGGAAAAAACAGCATATGTCTTGAAGGTGGTACAAAGATAAAGATATGAAGATGAAGATGGATGTATAAAGATATAGGTTGACAAAGGATGAACTGAGGTCATCATTTGTAGTGAGTTGAATGGCAGCTCTCCAAAAGATATGTCTAGAGCCGTCCTAAACCCCCAGGACCAAAAGTGTTTTTGCAAGGGGAATTAAGATAAGGATTTTGAGATGGTCATCTAGATTATCCTGAAGGCTCTAAATCCAGTGACAAGTGGCTTTCTAAGAGACAACAGAGAAAAGAGAAGAGGAGCAGGGCATGTGAGGATGAAGGCAGAGGCTGTAGTGATGCACCCACAAGCCCAGCAACACTCAGGGCCACCAGAAGCTGAGAGAGGCAAGGAACAGACTGTCCCCTGGAGCCTTCGGAGGGAGCGTGTCCTGCGGACACCTTGACTTCTGACTTCTGACCTCTAGAATTGTGAGTGAATGTATTTCTTTCATTTTAGGCACCAAGTTTGTGATCAATTGTTACAGCAGCTGCAGGAAACTAATACACTTGTATTAAAAACTTTCTGTGTTAAAAAGAGGAAATTACAAGTGTTGGCAAAGATGTGAGAAAACTGGAACGCTTATACACTTCTGGTGGGAATGTAAAATGGAGCATCCACTTCTGGTGGGAATGTAAAATGGAGCATCTGCTTTGGAGAACAGTTTGGCCATTTCTCCAGAGTTAAATATAGAATTGCCACAGGATTGGGCAACTCTACTCCCAAGTAGAGTCAGCCCTCCGTATCCACGGGTTCCACATTGTGTGGATTCTGCATTGACGGATTCAACTGACTACAGATCAAATAAGGAGCTCTGGTAGCATAGTGGCTAAGGCACTTGACTGCTAACCAGAAGGCTGGCGGTTCAAACCCACCAACCACTCCTCGGAAGGAAGATGGGGCAATCTACTTCCATAGTGATACTGCCTCAGAAACCCAAGGAGGGGTCGCTATGAGTCGGGTCTGACTCAACGGCACATAACAACAACAACAGATCAAATATATTCAAGAAAAAAAAGAGCAATGATGTGATCAAAGCAATCCCTCAAAGCCTAAGAGGGTGCATAAAGCACTATTTACATAGCATTACATTGTGTTAATTATGAGGAATCTAGAGATGATTTTAAGTTTATGGTAGGATTTGTGTAGGTTATATGCAAATACTACACCATTTTATATAAGGGACTTGAACATCTTGGGATTTTGGTATCTGCAGGTGTCTTGGAATCAATCTCTTATATTGCATACCAAGAGAAATGAAAACATGTCCCCACAAAAACTTGTACATATATACATACAGGTTCACAGCAGCATTATTCATAAAAGCAAAAAGTGGAAAAACCCAAATGGCTGTGAACTGATGAATGGATAAACAAATGTGGTATAGCCACAGAATGTAATGCTTTTTTGGCAACGAAAAGGAATGAAGTACTGACACATGCTAAAACATGGGTGAACCTTTACAACATTATGCTAAGAAGCCAGTCACAAAAGGCCACATAAGTTATGATTCCATTTCTATGAAATGTCCAGAGGTAGGCAAATCTATATACAGAAAAAGCAGATCAGTGGTTGCCTAGGGCTAGGAGGAGGGAGCTCTAGTGGTACAGTGCCTAAGGTATCTGACTACTAACCAGAAGGCTGGGGGTTCGAAACCCACCAGCTATTCCATGGAAGGAAAGTAAAGATACTGCCACAGAAACCCAATGGGAGTTGCTATGAGTTGCAATCAACTTGATGGCAGTGAGTTTGGATTTTGGAAGGCTAGAAGGGAATGAATAAGGAAGACAGAAGAAGAATTGATGCCTTTGAATTGTGGCGTTGGCAAAGAACACTGAAAATACCATGGACTGACAGAATAACAAATCTGCCCTGGAAGAAGTACAGCCAGAATGTTCCTTGGAAGAGAGAATGGCCAGACTTCGTCCCACCCACTTTGGTCATGTTGTCAGAACAGGCCATTCCCTGGAGAAGTGTATCATGCCTGGTAAAGTGGAGGGTCAGCAAAGAAGGGGAAGACCCTCAACGAAATGGTTTGACACTATGGGCTCAGGAATAGCCAGGATTGGGAGGCTGGCGCGGGACTGGGCAGTGTTTCATTCTGTTATACATGGGGTTGCTATGAGTTGGAGCCGACTCATGGCACCTAACAACACAACAACAGGGAAAAGGGTAGGAGGAAGAGGGGAGTGACTGCTAATGGAAACAGTTTTGTTTTTTTTTTAAAGAATGATGAAAATATTCTAAAATTGACTGTGGTGATGCTGAATATACTAAAATAATATACTAAAAACCATCAAATTGTATGGTACATGAATTGTATCTCAACAAAGCTGCTATTAAAAACGAAACACAACTGCAAGAGCTGGGAAGAAAAGGCAACTGTGTTGTGGGCCTGGCTTCTCGCCACGGTTTGGAGGGCAACCACACAGAGTTGATGTGTGAAACCTGAACACCCTGGAGATGAAGCCCTCAGCCCAGGGTTTCTGGTCTACCCCTTCTAGGCAGGTCTGGCCTGGAGAAAGTCAGTGCGCTGCTGGGAGAGGAGGCTGGAGCTCTTGAAAGGGCTGAGTCTATCCGTATGGGGTCAGAGTGCTAATAGCAACTCAGAAGATGAGATAGAACTTTAGGGGGCAGTGAGTTATGTTAATGGGGGAGCAACGACTCAGAAAAGGTGGGTGAAAATGATTGCACAACTCGAAGAATGTCATCAGTGACACAATATCGTTCCTACTGGAACTACTGAATGGGCTTATGTTTTGCTATGTATGTTCTCAACAATAACAAAATAAATTACATTTAGAAAAAACTTTATAGCCTAGGAAACTGTATCAAAGCAAAACACCAAACTCACTGCCATCAAGTCGATTCCGACTCATAGATACCCCCATTGGGTTCCCGAGGCTATAAATCTTTATGGAAGCACATCGCCCATCTTTCTTCTGGTGGGTTCGTACAACCGATCTTTTGGTTAGCAGTCAAATGCCTTAACCACTACAGCACCAGAGCTCCTAAGAAACCCTATAGGGCAGTTCTACTCTGTCCTATAGGGTTACTATGAGTTTGAATTAACTCGACCACATACAACAACCTACGTCAACATGTCATTCCTGGATGGTGCAAATGTTTAGTGTGCTAACTAAAAGGTTGGAGGTTCAAGTCCACCCAGGGGCACACTTCAAGGAAACCTTGGTGATCGACCTCTGGGAAAACAGCCATTGAGAATTCCATGGACCCCAGTCCTACTGACATTCATGCGGTTGCCAAGCTGGAGCCAACCTGATGTCAACTGGCAAAAGTCAACCCAAACTGGGGCAGCAGACAGGGTGGGGACTGCAGCAGACAGGGAGGACGTGCTCGCCCAAAGGGGCAGCTGCTACCCAGCCCAGCTCTAGTCCGTTCTAGTGGCACCCACGGCCAGGGCTGGTCTTTGGAGAGAAGCCGTACATGCAAACATTCCTAATGAAGTTTCCTGAGTTTCTGGAATTAGGACAGGATAGCAGGGAGGGATGACATGGGGATCCTTGGATTTTCACTCCGGGTGGGAGGAGCAGCATCTGGGAACCTACCAGTGGGGCCATCCACTCGAAGAGATTGACACTCTCCCCATCGTTGATGTAGTATGCCTGCCCGCTCTGAGGGGGACATGGAGGGGAAAGGTCAGGCACCTGCCCACCAACCTGGCCCCCACCCTCTCACACAGTTCTAAGCAGCCACCGAGGAGGGGTGGCCAGCCCCCAGTCTAGCAGACAGGCCTCATATGGATCCCACAGCTGGTGGTTCTGGGTAATTTCCTTTGAATTCTGGTGCCATCACATCTCAAGGGAGTCATCTAGTTCTCTGAACCTTAGTTTCTTCATCTGACAAATGGGAGGATAATAATAGGATCTCCCCCTTGGGTTGTTGTAAAGATTGAATAAGATTCATTATGGACAATGCTTGGCATTTGGTGACCATGATTATGGGATCAGCACCACCTACCTCAAGGTCACTGTGAGCAGTTCATGGTGCTCAATGGCTCCCCACCCCTACCCCAGCTTTCCTGGGCCAACAGTCCTGACTGGAGTTGGGGAGGATGTTTTTGTGCACCAGCTGGGCCTCCCCCAGGGCAAGAGGGATGGGGCCCCCTGCCTGCCGGTTCAGCGTGGGGGCGGACTGCAGGAGACTCACCGCCACGAAGCCCTTGGCTGCAGTGAGGGCTTCAGCCGCCAGCAGGTGCGCCTGCACCAAGTTGTGCACATGGACCCAGTTCATCCGTGTCCTGCGGTCCCCAAATCGGAACATGAACAGCCTCTTCTTGATGTGGTTCTGGTCGGTGGGGACAGGTCAAAACAGAGGCCCAAGTCTGGAGGGGCTTGACCATCTATATGCTTATGGCTCTTGAATTTCTAAGTGTCGGGCTCTCTCTCCTAAACTCCAGACAGGTGTCGAATGCCTTTCCAACATCTCCATAAGGCTGCCTAACTGACCTCAGCTACCACGTCCGGAAATGAATGCGCCTAATCTTTCCCACCTGGTGCAGGTCTTCCTCCTCTCAGGTGATGGCACACCACTGTGCAGGCCAAAAACGTTAAGGCCGCCTTTGACTTTCCCTTCCTCTTGCTCCACCTACTGGCAAATCCTATGGCTCAACTCTTAAATCTGTCCAGAATCGGACCACTTCTCACCACGCTCACTGCTGCCTCTCTCATCTGGTGTGGTGACAGCCTCCTAACTGGTCCCTTGCTTCCACCCTCGCCCCCTGCTGGCTGTTCTGGATGCCACAGCCAGAGGGACCCTTTCTAATCCTTAATCAGATCACGTCTCTCCTCTGCTCAGAACCTTCCAGAGGCTCCCATTCTGCCAGGGTGAGAGCCAAAGTCCCAATAGTGGCTGGCTCGGTCCTTCCTGGCCTGGCCCCAGTTACTTTCTGACATCATCTCCTACAAACCCAGCACACCACACACTCCACTCCGCTACACTGACATGGGCCTTCTCACTGTTTCCAGTTGCTTTCTCTATGGGCTTAAGAAGGCACTCTGGTAGTATAGTGGTTAAGGCATTTGGCTGCTAACCAAAAGGTCAGTGGTTCAAACCCACCAGCTGCTCCATGGAAGAAAGATGTGGCAGTCTGCTTCTACAGCCTTAGAAACCCAATGGGTATTGCCATGAGTTGTAATGGGCTCGATGACTTGTGAGTTTGGTTTTGGGTACGAGTTTAGGAGCCCTGGTAGTGATATGATTAAGCACTCAGCTGCTAACTGAAAAGCTGGCTGTTCAAACTCACTCAGTGATTCCTGGCAACAACTCTGCTAACTCTCCTATCACTCCCTTGGTAACCTCCATGGCTCCCCAGTGCTACACCCCTGCTCCCCGGCCCCTACAGCCCTGCTCTCCTAGATCCTGCCACAGGGGCTTGCTGCTTCCTAAACTTTGTTCTCATTTCCTGGTTTTTGCTGTCTCCTCTCCTCACTACAACTCATCCCCTTGGTTAATTCCTTCTCTTTCAACCCAGGTGTCTCCTCCTTCAGGAAGCCCTCCTAGACACAGCCACACACACCCTGTCTGCTGTGCTCCCATCCTCTCACGCTTCCCTCCTCACTCTCACCACACTTAGTCTGTGATTACAGTATCTGTTCCCCGAGCAGGTTATGAGAGGTGAGGACCTCCCAGTCAGATTCTGGGTACCCGGCTTTCTCGAGAGACCAGTTTCCTGCATGAAGACTTGTGTACTAGCAGCCCTCAGGGAACCCACATTTGAGAGGGGAGAACAGGCTCCCCTGTCTGTTTGGGGGTCACAGTTCCAGTCTTCCCACTTGGGCTTAACCTGGCTGGCATACATTGAGAGTTTTGGCCTGGTGGGCCAAGTCTTAGGCCTGGCCCAGGGGATGTGCTGGTAGGCCTGAGGGGCCCATGGACTGGTGGGCAGGGGCATCTCTCAGAATGGAGGGTCCCAGGAACTGACGCAGTGACCTGTGGGCTGGGAAGGCCCTGTCAGCATGCACACACCAGCCCGGCTCTGCCTCTGCCTCAGAGTCCAAGCAGGTTGGGTGACATACCGCCACACGGGGCAAGTGTCTCTGCTCTTCGGGGCCGTAGATGCCCGGGGGCCGGAGCACACATGTCCGCAGAGTGCCTCCTCCTAGGACACAGAGGAGGGTGGTCAGGGGCCTGGGAGGGATAGACCAGCAGGGAGGGGAGAGGAAGGCCGTCCACATCTCCTGCCCTTACGCGGACAGCTTAGAGGAGAAGATGAGCCCTTGGGGTCTCTTCGTTGGTTACTCTGTCTATTAGTCACTTGAGTTCCTCTCCTGGACCCTGGGATGAATGCTGAGAAGAATCCAAGGATGGCCAAGAAATGGTCCATACCTTCACGATGCTCACAGGCCAGGAGTTAAGGTGAGACCTAAATGCAGGTATCCGCACGGCCTGTGAGAGTTTACCCAGCACTTAACAGGTGTGATCTCCAGCTCTCCTGAACGTCCTACTGTGTGTCTGCAGACCCACACTCCTGCAGGCCAAGAGCTCTAGCACCTTCTGTTCCCGGTCATCAGTTAAGACAGTGTCCATGACCACTCTGAGAGGTCCTACCCTCTCTGGTAAGCTGGGAATTTTTTTTCCCTAAGGCAACCCTATGAGGTGGGAGCTACTATTAACCCTGTTTTATAAATGAAAAAAACATGGCTGAAAAAGAACATGACTTGCTTAAGCTCAGTGTGGTGGAGCTCAGACGGGGAATCAAAGCCCAGGCCTTTTCCAGCTTCTCAGTGACTATAATACAAACAGTAGACCCTGTCTCTCAGCCTGCTCAGCCTTGGTTTCCTCACCTGTAAAATGGGTTCTTTGTAAGTGGTAGGAGTTGCTACACTTTTCAGACAATGAATGCAAAAAAGGAAAAGACTAACACCATCAGCACGAGAGCCAAGGATCTATTTCCCAAACCCTCACTGCTGTATCCCAACAGAGTCCCAGGTGTCCCAAACTCTGCGCCAAGGGGCTCCCAATGATGGAGGTGGGCAAACATGTCTCTCCTGGGGAAATCTGGTGGTATACCCCAAAGGGGCAGCCACAAACACAGGTAAGTCTTTTCTTAAGAACACCTATCCAATTTTTAGTTTTCCTGCATAATCCACTTGTGCTTATACTAAGATTGTTTTAAAGGTTGAAAATTATTTATTTTGTAAATCACTTGTCTTCCCTAATCCCAATTTTTCAAATGAAATGGAGCCTCTAAGATGATGTTCCACTCTCCTGAAGCTCAAGTTCCCCAAAGGACTATACCCCAGTTGGAGAAGCCCATTGTAGGCCATCTTCTTTGACCAGTAGCCCACCCTCCTTTGGTAAGCTCCTCTCCTCTGGATGAAGTCTTGAGGGGAAGTGGTGGCTGTGGGGGCCAAGCTAGGCCAATGAGATGTCCTCACCCAGGAATATGACACTTGATAAATGATTGACACCAGGACCTTATTACGAGTGGGTTCACCCTCAAGAGACTGATTCTCAGCTTTTGCCTCCATGTGCCCAGAACTGCCCATATCCTATCCTTTCCAAGCCCTGCTGGTCATTCTTCTTACAACTATCCTGCATCCTTCCAACATAAGCTCCATTTCCCCCTTAAATTAGCCAGGGCCAGTGTCTCATGGTTATAAACACCCTCACTTTACAGTAGGGCCCAGTGTAGTGGGCTGAATGGTGGCCCCGAAAAAGATGTGTTCTTGTCATGCAACCTGAGAATGTGACCTTACTTGGAAAAAGGGTTTTTGCAGATATAATCAAGCTATGAATCTTGAGATGAGATCATTCTGGATTATCCCCTTGAGTCCTAAATCCAATGACACCAAAAACCCTAACCTACTGCCACTGAGTCAATTCCGACTCATAGCAATCCCCACTAGATTTCCAAGGCTGTAAATCTTTACAGAAGTAGATGGTCTCATCTTCCTCCCGCAGAGCAGCTGGTGGGTTCTGAACCACCGACCTTCTGGTTAGCAGCCAAATGCCTTATGCACTGCACCACCAGAGCTCCTAAGAGATACACAGAGGAGAGACAGAAGAAAAGGCCACATGAATACGGAGGCGGAGACTGGAATGATGCAGCCACAAGGCAAGGAAAGCCTGGTGCCACCAGAAGCTGGAAGGAAAGGAGGATTCTCCCTAGAGCCTCTGGACGGAGTGGCACCCTGCCCACATCTTAATTTTTGACTTCTAGCCTCCAGAGGTCTGAGAGAATAAATTTCTGTTGTTTTAAGTCATTGAGTTTGTGATCATTTGTTATGGTGGCTACAGGTAGCTAATCCACACAGTGGCACAGCACATTCCTACTGAACTGGGATCTGCACCTCTCAGGACGCTGCTACAGAGTTAGTGGGGGAGCCTCAGGGACCAGCTTGGGCAGCAGGGAGTGGAAATCACCTGGCGTGACCGAGGTTGAACTCCTGGGCAGGCAGGTATCAGGTGAGCTTTTCTGTAAACAGCCTGCAGCTAATTTTAAACTCTGGGTCACCTGGATGTGTGGGTGGAGGTGGGTCAGGTTGCAGTTGACACTGGCCTGTGAGCACTGGGCAGCCACATCACAGAGGGGCTGGGCCCAGGGTATCCATGACTCTCTTGACCATGGAAAGCCGGGGATGTTCGAATAAATAATTCTTCGCTAGAGGACTGAGTGTCTGGCATGCAGGCTGCCAGTGTTGCCTGGGGAGGCCCTGGGCAGAGAAGAAAATTCAACTGCACAAGGTCAAATTCCTGGGAAAACCTAGTTGGATCTTCCCACTGGGTTCAGGAGGCAGGCCCAGGATGAGGAAGGAGATGACTGCAGGGAACAGAGCTCATACTCGGGATCTGCTCAGTGCAACACAGTGGTTTAGCCCCATGCCTCTGGGGGGGGGGGGGTTCAAATCCCACTTCTGCCACCTAGTAGCTGTATAACCTTGAGCTAAAGCAGTTAAGCACTCTGATCCTCAGCTTTTTCACCTGTAAATTGGGGATTATAATTTTTGGTATCTTTCACTCTCCCAATCAGTCCATTTGGTTTTTGAGTTTAGATTATGAGCAAAACCAAGTTATCTGACTATTTTTGTTTCTGATTTTCAGAAACAGTCATAATTTAGTAACATTTTGGAAAGCAAAGAACTTATCTGAATCTGTTTGGTTCCTGAGTTTGGAAAATGAGGAACAGCTAAGTTCCTACCTCCTAGAGATGTGGTGAGCAGCTACAGTGACTTCTGGATGTAAACACAGGGCCTGGCGTGTAGTAAGCACTCAAGAGCAGGGGCTGGTCACATTCTAGTACAGTAAAGCCTGCGAAAGCTGGAACCTGTGTAAGGAAGAAACCTGTCAGAGAAGAACAACTCAAATATTTCCCACTAAAACAAGTGACAGAAAAGCAGTAAGACTGCACCCTGTCAAAGGCAGAAAATTTGGGAGGCCAGGAAAAACACGGGAGTCCCGTTGAGTTCGGGTCTCACAGGTTTCACTGCATTACCTCTCTATAACCACAAGAGGCAATGCACTAAGGCAGATGAGACCATTTTTTCTGGGAAGGTGAAGCTTTAGAGACCCTCACTTGCATGGGCCCTTCCCAAGCATGACAGACAGAATACTTTATTCCATACTCATAAGTCATAAACCCATATATGAAGTTGTTGTTGTTAGGTGCTGTCAAGTTGGTTCCGACTCACGGTGATCTTATGTACAACAGAACAAAAACAGTGTCTGGTCCTGTGCCATCTTCACAATCACTGCTATGTCTGAGCCCATTGTTGCAGCCACTGTGTCAATGCATCTCATTGAGCGTCTTCTTCTTTCACTCTCTACTTTACTGAGCATGATATCCTTCTCCAGGGACTGGTCCCTCCTAACAACATGACCAAGGTAGGTAAGACAAAGTCTGGCTATCCTCCCTTCTAGGGAGGATTCTGGCTGTACTTCCTTAAGACAAAGTTGTTTATTTTTTTGGCAGTCCATGGTATATTCAGCATTCTTTGCCAACACCATAATTCAAATTCCTCAATTCTTCTCTGGTCTTCCTTATTCACTGCCCAGCTTTCATAGGAAATTAAAAATACCATGGCTTGAAGGGAAAGGCAGTATACCAAAAGTGAGTGTCCAGCACATAACACTAAGGAAAAGGAGGACAAGGAGAGGTGCACAAGAGGCACAGACAACAAAAGTAAACACTTTACACACACAACACTGCCTCTCAGTAATAAACATTAATCTATGGGTGGATACACAGGCAGATAGGCAAAATGATCAGGTATGGGTAGGCAAAAGGGAATATATGTTTGGCGGACAATATTTCTACATATGTATCTGTACATGCTATTAGGATGGTCAAGGAGCTCTGGTGGTGTAGTGGATAAGGCATTTGGCTGCTAACCAGAAGGTTCAAACCCACCAGCTGCTCCGCAGAAGGAAGATGGGGTGATCTACTTCTGTAAAGATTTACAAGCTTTGGAAACCTGATGGGGGTTCCCATGAGTTGCAAATGACTTGATGGCAGTGAATTTGTTTTGGTTTTCATTAGAATGGCCATATATAGACTAGGATCTTAAAAGCTTGCAAGTAGCCATCTAGATGCAATGATGGGTCTCTCCTCATCCAGAGCAAAGAATGAAGAAAACCAAAGGCGCATGGTAACAATTAGTCCAAGGGACTGGTACACCATGCAATCTTCAGCCTATATGACTATGAGACCAGAAGAACTAGATGGTGTCCAGCTACCACTGTCAACCACTCAGAGGGGGAATCTACGTAGGAGTTCCTGGATAGAGTGGGAGAACAATGTGGAACAAAACTCAAAATCATTTAAAAAAAAAAAAAAAGGGTCAGGGACCAGGTTTGCTGGTCTGATAGAGCCTGATGGAACCACTGAGATGTTGGCCCCTAGCTGCCCTTCAGGTCTGGAATGGAACCCACTCCTGTGGTTCCAGCCAAGCAAAAGACAGGCATATAAGCTGAATACTTACACTAGGTAGATACACTCCTGGAGAGATCATCATGGGAGAATAGAAGGAGACAGCACAGGGAGATGGCTTGGGGGGCAGGAGTGCATGGGAGGGAAGGACACAGGGAAGAGGTGACAATGGGGAGGAAGTGGGAGGGATGCTGTTGCATTATGGAAAATTGTAGTATAGTGTCATGAGA